GATTCTGAGGCTCCGTCTAACATACTTTGGACATGTTGTGAGGAGAGACCGGTCCTTAGAGAGGGACATCATGCTTGGGAGGGTGGAGGGACAGCTCAGGAGAGGAAGGCCCTCTATGAGGTGGACTGATTCAGTGACTGGGATAATTGGGATGGGAGTGTCAGAGACAGTGCGCTTGGCACAGGACAGAGCGGAGTTTAGGGCTGTTGTACATAGGGTTGCTATGTGTCGCAAGCGACTCGATGGCACATAACAACAATTACAAAAATCACCGTGGAGCAGCCTTAAGTTGCACTGGTGGTCCGGTGGTTATGAACCGGCACATAACAACAACAATTACAAAAATCACCGTGGAGCAGCCTTAAGTTGCACTGGTGGTCCGGTGGTTATGAACTGGCTACCAGCTGGAAGACTGGCACCTGGGTTCCAGTGGTGTTACCACCCACAGACCTCCTCCCATTTCAGAATACAGAGAATCTTTAGTAATGTTTATTGTCAACTTTAATCATAGGATTGTTATAAAATATAGTTGTAAATTGCTTAAGCACAATATGAAATATTCAATAAAATCATATACATACTAACAACAAAAAATTTTACAAAACCTTTCTACAGTGAGTACAAGATTGTTAATGATTGAGTGAAAGTCTTATTTTGCTCCTCTCTAACCTTTAATTATTATTTCATTCTCAAAAAAGTTACTGATAAAGGTTCAACATTCTACTTATCACAGTATTATAGCTATAATTAAAAAAAATTGGCAAAATCAGCAACTATAACAATATTGGCAGCAATGAAAACAATGTTGCATGCTAGTAGCATGTACAGACAAAACCACATAATTCAAACAATCATTGCAATTTGGTAAAAATGCAGCTCTGATCAAAATGCATTAGAATATCCTAAAAGTCAATTAGCATCGAGTGTTACTTTGTAGGTATATTGACAAAAGTAAATTGGGCTTATGAAAAATGTTTTTGTTGTTATAACTACAAGGATAGTTTTATATAAATAGCAAGTTTCTACTTAAATATTGCATAAAAACTGTTATAGACCGCCATTTTGGTACTGTCCTCTGACAATGTTATCCAACGAGGTCCTCATTTCCTACTGACACCACTGTTAGAACCGACCAGCTGCTCCACAGAAGAGAGATTGGGAAGTCCACTTCTGTAAATATTGTTGTTTGATTTCAAGCTTGACTCATAGTGACCTTATTAACAAAAGACCTAATACCTTTCTATAACTATCGTCATTTTTCCAAGTTCATAATTTCCATAGGCATGTGGATTAGAAAGTGGATGCCACTCCTGCTTCCAATGTGTAAAGATTACCACCTGGAATGTCTCATTCTCTGTCCTATGTGATCGCTAGGAGTTGGAAAGGACCAGATGACAATGTCTTTGGTTTGGTTCTGGAGCCTTATGATTCTGTATAAGTGTCTCATGAAAAGGGGAGGAAGTTGCTTTCCTCCCAACAGGAAGAAAAAGTGGACAAGATTTTGGCCACCAAGCCATTTTTCAGTTAGGTGGGATCTTAACATTTCACATGAAGTTTTCATTAGAAGCTCTACCTCATTGCCATTGACTTGGAACCAAATCATAGCTGACCCTCCAGTGGGTTTCTGGAGACTGTAAATATCACTGTAGAAACAGCTCATCTTTATCCCTTGGAACAAAAATGCCAGAGAGGTCCCACCTTTGGATTAGCTATGCTAATCCTATGTGCCAAATCACCAAAGCTTCCTACAGGGAAGAAAGAGGAACATTTGCTTTTCCTGAGTATCATGTGCAAAAGTGGCTCCTTTGGAAAAAAAAGATAGTAATTTAAAATCTCCAGTATTTTTTAAGACAACGAGGAAAAGACATTAGGAGAGGTAGTGTGAAAACAAGACTGAAAGACAAGAATGACTGACAAGTTGTAGAGCTTATCTTTCAATATGACTTTCTTGGCCATAGTTTGATTTTGCAATGTAGATGGGTGGGAATATGGGAATGGGGTGGACTGGTTAGTCTCACCATTAAATTAAGCAATCCAGCAGCAGAAGAATTAGACTTCCCCCAGTCTGGTGAAGGAGCAGAAGGAAGAGAATGTAGGATTCCCTTCAGGACCAGACATTCCTGCTCTTGCTACACCTATGGCAGAAGCAGCCATGGCTGAATCAAAGACCTGACATGAGATGGGACCTTGTGACTGCTACACCATTGGAAGCAGAGCTAGGAGCCTTTGCCCAAGTTTGTTAGATGTCTGGAGGTGGAAGGCCATATTTCACTGGACTAAGAACTTTGTAACTCCTGCGTAAAGCTGTGAGGCTCAAGGCTGAGGTGCCTGTGAGGAAAAGTTTGGAAGCAGTTCTGACTATATTTGGCTACTAACTTGGATTTTAACTTTTTTACTCCCCCAATATGGTTGTATGTGGTCTATGAGCAATCATATTGGATTTTGGACCCTGGAAAGCAGTAATATTGTTGAGATAAGGAGAAAGAGGTATGGAAGTATGGGAGACATGTCTGGCCTCATGGGAATTGGTTTTGAGTTATTAATGCTGTTTATAAGACTTGTTCCCCTTTGTTAAGTTGGTAAAGGTCAGACATGGCCATCATCACATGGCCCTTGCTCTTTTTACGCAAGTGACAGTATTTTTTTCCGTTTTTAAAAAAGTAAAAGCCATTGCCAGTGAGTTGGAACAAACTTGCTGCTGACTTTCCAGTGGGTTTCTAGAGCTGTAAATCACACAGATTGTCCCTTTCTCTTTGGGGAGCAGCTGGTGGATTCAAATTGCCAGAAGTCTACACTTTTGGGTTAGCAGTCAATTCCCCATGGAGTACACCACCAGAGTTCCCTCCTTTATCTATGTGCTTCCCTTCAGTAACTGTGATCTACCTAGATTCTTAAGACATTATTAGGTTTTCA